TTGTAGGGAGGCCTGACAGTTCACTGAATCTCAGGTTAAAACACAATTTTCACTAAAATCTGACCAATTTGGTAGATTCAGGGATTCATGTTATGTGTTTGTTGACTGAAACAAATCCCAGATGTCCATTTTAAAGAACCCATTTGATACACCATAATCCTATCACCTGTGCACCAGTTTGTGTTAGCATTAGTATTTATATTGGAGAAGCACCTACAATTTGCAAGATGCTGTGCAAGTATATAATTTGGTTCCAGTTTTGAAGAGCTAAAGTCTGAAAAGAAATAGAGAATGCACAAAGGCCATGCCTAAGGGCTAGGGACAGACATTGAAAAAGCCGGAGCTTGAATTGAGTCAAGATTTGCAGGTTAGTCTAACCTGCCTAGGTTGAACTGGTTTGTGCCTGCACATCTGTGCTGTTATATGCCTGCAGTTGCTCAAGTCAGGCGCCAGGGGCGCTAGAGCACACCTTTGGCTGTAGGGAAGCTCTGTTGGGGGCCGTGGCCAGTCTGAGCTGAACTGGCCAGAGGTGGATTCAGTTTCCCGCTCCCTGACCTACCAGCAGGGAACCGAACCGTTTGCTGGGAGTCCCCCCGTTGCTGCTGCAGTGGGAGGCCAGCCTGGTCCCTGGGGCAGAGGGGGCAGGGAGAGGGGTTATTCTCCCTTCTATCACCACTGCCCCTTGGGGACCACAGCCAGGCCTGCCTGCCCTGCCCTGACCGCCGCCAACTGGAGGAATAAGCCCCCTTCCTCCGGTGTCTGGGACAGGGGAATAACCCCCATCCCTGCACCTCTCCAGGGGTCCCTGCTGGCTGACATCTGGCCCTGCCAAGAGGGGCTGGCTGGGAAACAGCCTTCTCTGGCCAGCTCAGAAGTGCCAGTGGGCCCCAAGCCCAGCAGTTGCCACCACTGCACTCCCTGCCCTGTGCAGCACCCAGGGCTGCAGCTGCACAAACAACTGAGGGCTGGCTCGGGCTGGGGGTTGTTCTGTCTCCAGCTGCCGCTGCCACAGTCGTGCTGTGCCATGCCATGCTGCTCTGGGTCAGGGGAGCGGGAAGCTTCTGCTCCATGCGTGGAGCTCTGGCTCCAGCTCCTGGACACCTTGGAAGGCAGAAGGTGCCAGGGTGGAAGGCTTTAGTCTGGGGGCTGCAGTTGGAGTGCCAGTCAGGGCTGGGGGAGTTTCCTTCAGCCCAGCGGCTCCAGCCCAGCTTAGGCTGAAGCCGCTGGGCTGAAGGAAGCTCTCCCAGTCCTGAGCGGTGTGGCATGGTGCAGCAGGAGCTGCAGCTGTAGATGAGGGGAGAAACAGTCCTGCTGGGCGACGCCATCTTCCCTTCTCCTGTAGCAGTTACTCCCCCTCCCATTCCTGCCACTGTGGGAGGTGGCAGCAGTGGGGGAGCTTCAGCCCATCAATTTGTGCCTTGCACATGGAGCTCTGGCTGCAGCCCCTGGACTGAAGCTTCCCACCCAGGCACCTTTCACCTTCCAGGGCATCCAGGAGCTGGAGCCAGAGCTCCACGCACAGGGCAGAAGCTTGCCCCCCACCCAGAGCAGCATGGTGTGGCACAGCTGTGGCAGCAGCAGCTGGGGACAGAACAGCTGCCCTCCTCAACCAACCTGTAACTGTTTGTGTAGCTGCAGCCCTGGGTGCTACACAAGGCAGAAGGCACGGCGGTGGCAGCTGCTGGGCTTGGAACGCACTGGCACTTCTGAGCTGGCCAGGGGAGCTTGCTCCCCAATAAGCCCCTACCTGGTTAGATACTGGCTGGCAGGGCCCCTTGGTGTGGGGGAGGAGGGGACAGAGATGGGGGTTATTCCCCCTCTCTCCAGCAGAGGGAACAGGCAGGGGCTTATTCTGACACTTGGCAGTGGTCAGGGCAAGCAGACCCAGCTGTGGTCCCCCAGGGACAGTGGGGGTAGAAGGGAGAATAATCCTCCTCACTGCCCCCTCTGCCCACTGCAATGAGTGGGGAGCACCCGGCAGACCTTGTTCAGGCCTCTGCCTGTGGGACAGGGAAGGGAGAATTAAACTCTTCTCTGGCCAGGCCCCTGTCCCTGCCTGTCTCTGCTCTGGCTGGGGGAGCAGGGGGGTGTGGCCAGCCCTGTTGAGCTGGAGCAGAGAGTCCAGCCCAGAGAGCATGCTGGGATGCTGGGGGACTCTGGTTTAAGTTAAACCAGGAAGGGGTCTGGGACAGACATTGTATAAACTGTTTTGAGCCAAATCAGTGAAGTCTGATACTACATTCAAACAGAGTTTCTCAAACCAGTTTTAGCCATTTTTTTTAAACTGGTTTTTGTGCACTGAATATCTGTTCTGTTGTGTATGTTTAAACCAGTTTCTGATCACTTAAACTGGTTTATGTGTAATGTCCGTCCCTAGCCAAGAGGTGCAGTATACAAACACTTCATTGTTTATACCCAATTCACAAATACTTCTTTCTAGCCATATTTTGACCAAAATCATGTAGGCATTGTAGTTTAAGTATTTAATTTCTCCTTATTACATCTCATTGTTTTGTCTTGTAGACCATTCAGAAAATACATTAGATGCACATGGGGTTGTGTGGGAGGAAGCACATGCTCAGGGCGTTAAAGCTCACTTACTAGCAAATGAAGTGTATCAAGTCTGGAGAGTATTTATTTTTGTTATTCATTAAGGGACTTTTGCCACTTGAGCAGACATTTAATTATTACAAAATTAAAATAATTTCAGGTTATTTCCCATTTAGTTTTCCATCCAGTTTCTCAGCAGCTTTGGATTCCTTATTATAAAATATCCTAAAACAGATCCTGCCCAACATTTTTTTTTCCCCTCTGATCTGTTTTATATTGTAAAGTTCTGATCCTGCAAACATGCATGTGTTTAGCTTTATTAACTTGGAGGGACTAATGGGTTTGCATATAAAGGTTTACTGAATTAAGGCTAAATTTGTTAAATTTTTGTGATACATAACTTTCTGGACATTAGCAGTGAATATAATCATATTACAAAGTAATAACATTAAACTATAAACATTTTGATTATTAAAAGCAAGACTAGGTGAGTTAACAATAAGATGTGGACAGTTCTCCTTCTGAATCACCAGTTTATTTGAAATATGATTCAGTACAGTCTGCTGCTACTGTAGTGGCCTTCTGTAGAAAATTGTGGTCGGAAGGGGCTCAAATCAAAGAACATAGCAAAATGCTGGCACAAGCTGGCACCCTTTAGAACCATCAGAGACCAACAAACTTCTTTTATCTTTGGACAGATTTCCTCTAGAACAGAATTAAGGTGTGTTTACAGGGCAGTGATGGAAAGTTTGCCTTGCTGCTGCTGACCCCGCCTGCTTACTGCAAAATTAATTGCAACAAATTATTGTCATGCTTTATCTGCCTCAGACTTATTAGTGTACAATACATTATACAGTAATAAGGCATCTTGTGATGCAACATAGACATTTCCACCCATTGCATTTAAAAATACATTTTTTTGCTTGTTGCACAGCAAACAAATGATAGTATTATAGACTCTTTGTACTGCAAAAGGAGGTAGTTCACAGTATGTAATGGATAAACAAAAGGTCTGTGCTCTTATGCCTTTCAGCTGCAGTAAGCAATGTTGGAGGAAAAAATTCAAACAACTAAAACTGATTATTCTTTCTTTTTATTTTAATTTTAACAACATGGGCAAATTGAAAGGTGTAAGCAAAGCAATCACGTGAGGAGTTTCTAAGAAAGTTGTTCAAGCTACAACCTACTTAGATCGTTGAATCAAACTGAATAAAGCAGGCTGCTTTGGATTTTTTTTTTTTTAACTTTCCACGAACATTTGTTGTCAATGACATCTTTTTGTTTGAACAGCAATGTTGTCTTCTGTGCACAAGGAACATCAAAATCAACTGAAAATTAAAATATATATATATTATTTGTCCTGTATTGCAAATTGGTTTAAAAATAACATTTCAGACCAAATTCTACTTTCATTCTCACTGGTGAAGTTCCATGGACTTCAGTGGACTTTAACCATAACTGAGAACAGATTTAGCCTTCTGTACATATCTCATAATGAGTTTTATTTACCCTTACGTTGAGGAGTGAGTCAGGGTGCATGCAATATTCAGTCCTTGTTGGTTCACAGACCTTGTGATAAACTGTTCTCAACTCCTAGATGATTTTTAGCCATGAGTTTTATTCCAGCTCACTGAGAATGCTTTGATCATTATTAAGATGCTCTGTTATTAGCTGTAACTTAATTCTTAAAATGTCTTGATATTGAAGCAAAATAGTTTGCAAAATGCAGTTTTGAAGATTTTAACCATAAAGAGTGCACACATGCATTTAGTAAAGAGGGCTCAGAATCAAGACTCATATTCAACGCCATCCACATTTTAGGGAAAATTCTTTCTGCATTTAAACGTTGTGAATTGGGCCATTTCCTCCAGCTTTCCTCCCTCATTTCCTGCTACGTATGTGAAATTCATCCTAGTGCAAATCTGGAGTGACACTTCAGAAGTGTACAGGCCTTGTGGCCCTGAATTTTAACCAGGAGTGTTTTAATTACACTACTAGCCAATAATAGGCTTTCAGCTTAAAAGAATAATAGAAAGGTATTGCATTGGGGAAATGGGGGCAGGAGGGAGTGGTATTTTTTCTAGTTAAAAGATCATGTACATCTTTCAGTGGTTTATCCCAGATGAGCTGTTGGCTCTATCATGCTGACTTCTGCATCACCTGCACCCAGGGGGAAGGTGCTGCAATAACCATCTACAGCTCGCAGCTACCCTGGGATACCTGCAAGTCTGTTAGTTTTGGATACAAATGTAATTTACATAAGGTTACAAAGATGTGAATATCACTGCTTAAACATGTTATGTGTGCCCATCCCATAAGTTATGTAGTAGGTCAGAATGATCCTGTTGAGTTATAGAATGGCAAATTTGCTCTAGGCTCTTTCAAACAGAAGTGGTGGGACTGTACATTTGTATAGTCTTATCTCATAGCTCTGCTGGATGCTTGTCATTCTAGTGTAACTTATGCTGGTGAACTTTCACCTAATTTTTTTTCTTATGTGAAAAGAAAAAACATACTCTAACTGACTTAGAGCACATTACTGTGGTAGGTTGTGTGCCTGCTCCACTTTTTTTATGCCAATGAGAGGCCAGTTACATGGGTGCAATTATGTTATATATCCAGTCCTGTGTGAGGTTAATAGTTCTGTGCAATTGCTGATAGCAGACACCCTGGTTAGTGCGCAGAGGCAACTTAAATATCGCTCTTAACACTTTCCCACAAAACTTAGAGGGATCAGGGACAGAAATTTTATTTCAAACTCCTAACTTGTCTGCCTTGTACTTTCATCAAGATTTTTAGGTGGTATATGTGCTTTGTCTTTTTACTATCCAATGGCCCAGTTGTGCTGAAGCCAGAGTTTTGCAATTCATTCTGTGTACAGGATCAAGACCCAACTTTTAGCAGCAGGATGTTTTTCATTAAGCAGGGGATTATATTGTCTCAAAAGCAAGCCACCTTAATGAGGGCCTTTGATTTAAAAAAAATCAAAAACACACAAACTTTTTGATTTGGAATGTGAATGGGGGAATATTGGTTTCTCAGAGGCTGTGTAGACAGTGTTGTAACTAGAGAGCTTCAAAATATAAATGAGTTTTACAGGTTATTTATTTATTTAGAAAACTATTTTTCTCTATAAAAAGACATGGCTACCAGGTCAAATTCTGTTCTTTGGGCCCCAGTTTAACAAAGCACCTATACACGCATTCAACTTAAAGTATGTTTAGATCCACTTTTGTTCTCCAAAAATGCTTATGTGCTTTTGCTGTGCCTAAGTGCCTTTGCTGAACTGGGACATCTGTTACAAATCAGATGAGGACAAATATGTAGTATTTTCTTTTGAATCAAAATTTTCCTTACTCTTTCCATCTGGGATAGAATATTCTGTGTTACTTGATAAATCTGAAAAATTTAACTAAAGAAACGAACATAGTTCTTTTGCTGAATTCCCGAATGGAGCTAAAATGTTAATCATGAAGGTCCTGATCCAAGAAAGCACTTGGGAACATGCTTTACCTTTTAACCATCTGAATAATCCTGGGATTACTTGGGTGTTCAAGTGCTTTGCTGTGTCATGGATTAATTTGTGTTGCTTCCTTTTCTACAGAGAGGATGAAAGCTTCCGGAGGAGCAAAGTCTAAGGAGGTGGGCTGTAGAAAGGGAGGGAAAGGGGCTTAGGGATGGGAATGAGACTATACTGACTATAAAACAGCTGTGTCATTACTTGGTATTTTAGGAATGTATTTCCCAAGATACTAAGTAACGTCACAGCTGTTTTGTAGCCATTAAGATGGCCTGGAAGCTGTGGGGGCTCTTACATTTTAAGTCTCAACTCTGGAAAAAGAAGGCTCATGGATCCACTGGGCCCATGGCTGGCTCTCACTGCTGGCAACCCCTCACCTCCCATGATTATACTCTAGGAACATCTGTGGAGCTGTACTTCAGGCATACACCCCTGTGTAGTGTCTCCTAATCCACCCACCTGACCATCTAACAAAGTGGGACAATGCCATTTCTCAGCTATGCACAATGTTGTCTCTGTTCATGACACATTCATTATTTAAAAAAAAAAATACCTGCTGGCTTCTCCATCCAGAAGGCAGTGGTATTTAGCAATGTCCTTTTCCAGCTGTAGCTTGTGGGACAGCAGATTTTCACGATCTCTCTGCTGCTGCTCAGTTTCTGCTTTGATTTCTCCCATTTCTGCCTCTAGCTTGTTAATGACAGAGCCTAGGTTCTGTAGTTCAATGTCATGCCAGTGTTTAGCGTCATATAAGGAGTTCTCCAGACCTCTTTTCTGTAAGGACAATAAATGAAAGGCTCCTTACTCTGAAAGATTTTGTGATAGTGTTTTTAATTAGGCTGGTGTCCATAACTTACTGGAAATCTGTATCTACTCTAATCATTTGCATTTAAATATATACTGAGGGTTCCTTTAATGAGATGCGTATCTTGAAATCTGTGCATCATAGTGGTATGTACTGCTGAACCACTATCTGAAGCTCTTGTGTGTGCTATCTGGTAACAAGGCAGTTAAAACAAAGGCGTAACATCTTCCTACTCTAGAATACTAGGTATGTAATCATTTCACTGAGACTTACAAATATTCAATAAAACGTTGAGGGATAAAATTTCATGATTTGATTTTTGCTCGGATTACTCGCACCTCCAGATTCTTAAGTGGGAGTGTGGGATATGCAGCATCTTGACTTGATAGGCTTATTCTCACTTACCAAGATGGACCTGAAAATGCATCGTGAATTCACTGCAAACACACCCCAGTGAGTACACACTCATTTTTTGTAGCAACCTACCAAAGTTCTTAAAGATTCAGTCTCTGCTTGCAGACTTTGTATTTTGCAGGCTGTATCATGGAATTCAGTTCTCAGGGATTCTACCAATTCCTCCTCTTGTGTTCGTACAGTAGGTGTTGTTTCTGTGTCCTGCTGAAAGAAGATAACAGTTGTCAGTCACAACAAGCTGTAATTATAATTCATATTCCTTGCATCCCAAAATGAAAGGGCTTTGCAACTCTGATTTCAAGTTTGCTGCCAAGAGGTTAAATGATGTATGTTAACAATAGCATATTTATTTTTCTAAGGACATACTGTAAAAATAGTGCTGGTAAGTAAGTGACTGCATGCACACAAACACAATGTTTGTACAAATATATTAAAAATTACCAGCAGAGAGAGGAAAAAATGCAGTTTTGTACTTCCCCCTATCTTTATAATGGAATAACTTTTTAAATTAAGGGTTTTTATTCCATTTTTCATTCCATTTTTATATTTGAAGTCTCATCTGTCCTGCTTTTTCAGGGAAATTCTATGAAAGACCAAAGAACTTGTTAAGATATAAACCTGATTGAGAAGGAGGTATGATTATTCAGTTTGGTTATTTTAAATACCTGTTTAACTCAAACTCCTTAGAAACAGAAGTAAGAAAAGGCCCTTAGTAAAGAAGCAGGAGTGTTTAATCTTCATTTAAGAGGCTGACTGCTCTAAATTCATATTTCTGGGTCCTCCAGTGAACACAAGCTTTGATTTAGTCCTAGTGTTTCCAAAGAAAAATCAAGAAGGAAAAAAAAAACCCTCTGGAGAAAAAACAAAATATTAAGTACTCGCTGTACCTCACAAAACCAAAAAAAGAGGTCAGCTCCTTTCTCTCCCCTCTCCCTTCCCCCAAATACCCCACCCCTTCTTCAAGTCACCTTTTAATAAAGGTGACTTGTAAAGTATGAAAGCCAAGCATATCCTCCCTATCTGTGCAACCAAACCAGAAGTTGAGGCGTGCCTTGGGGCATGTCCTGCTAGAGAATCCTGGGCCCTGGTGGACATGGCAGTTGGCAGCTGATACAGCCCTGGTCTACCTCTAACTGCTTTCCTTGCTGCCACTGCTGCTGGCCCTCAGCCTCCAGCCCCCAGAGAGTGGAATTAGTCTGCTTTCACCCTGAAGAAAAAGGTTAATGTATGGACTGCATTAGGGTTTGATACTAGATCTCATGTTCTTTAAAATGTTCGTTAATAATCTAAAATGGTGGGCTAGCTGTGGGACAACCAGCTGTGCAGGTGACAAAAGTTTATTTAGATTAGTCAGGTCCAGAGATCACTGTAAAGAAACAATCAAGATAAATGAGCAGTGTGATAGCAAATGAAATTCACTGTTGATAAATGCAAAGCAATGCACATTTCAGGGAATAACTTACACTGCTTATCTGCTTTATAAGGTTATAATTTAACTGCATCAGCTCAGGAAATTGATTTGAGCATCAATGTGGACAAGTCAATGAGGATCTCAGCCCAGTGGTCCAGAATGTTATGGGTATTTAGGCACCTAAAGATGCCCATATGGAATCCTTTTAGGCATCTAACAGCATGTTTAAGTGTCTCAGTACCCATAGAAATCTGGCCCTGTGTGCTGCTTTTGTCAAAAAAGCAAACAAGAGGTCAGGATACTTAAGGAATGGGATGGGGGAAAAAGGAGACAAACAGACACAAAATCAATAGTGCAGCTTCATCTAGAACTGTGCCCTGCTGGTCAAACTACTTCTGACAGAATGCAGTAACGTTAGCAATGTTGCAGAAAAGAGAAAAGTTTTAGGGGCACTGGAAAACTTGTTTGAAGAGAAAGGGGAAGAATGCGTTGGCTGTTCAAAATTGATAGGAATATTTTTGCCTTGCATAATTAAGCTTTGCACCTGACTGCAACAGGATGTCATTAAGGCCAGAAACACAGCAAGACTCAGCCAAGGAGTAGACATTGATACAGTTAACACCTATATTAGCTAATGCTAATTCTTACATCTCATACTGAAGCATAGTCTGGTAAAAAATGATGCATTCTAGAAATAGATTCCAGTGATTTGTTTGCTTTCTGCACAGGGTGGCTGTGATAGGCAAGGCAGAAGGGCAGTGTTAAGTAAAGCCAGGTAAATCAAACCAAAAAAAGATAAGTTTCCTCTGTATAGAACTAGAACTTTTTTCCAGTAGATCTTACAGTTAGAGATGGGCACAGGGAAGCGTCACCACTTACCTTGGTATAGAGCAAGGCACCAGTCTCAGCACGATTTCTTTCAATATCCTTCTCCCAGTGAATTCTGATTTTTTCCAGTATGTCATCTAGGCCAGTTCCAATGGGAACATCTAGCTCCTCCAAATGAGATCCAGCAAGCTGTTTATATAATACTTTTACATCCTGAAAAAAAAATGCACATAAGAAAAAGAAATGATGACCAAGGAAAGCTCAGTCTGTGTAGCACTTTTGGTGCATCTAAGGGCATGAGTATACAAATAAGATTTAGTGATAGAGAGGAAGGTGAGGCTTTACAGCACATCAGCTGCTCCATGGTAACTGCCATGGGGTATGTGCAAAAGATGTTAGATCAGTTGGACACCTTGGTTTAAGAAGCACAAGAACAAATGAGATTTGCTCATGTATATGTGAATTATCAGCATCACTATGGCCTTTTTACACTACTAGAACAGCATAAGGGAACCTGTGAGTTAGGTTTGTAAACCATCCTGCAAATGTTAGTGGTAAAAATAGATGTGGACAATACAAGAAAAAAATATGCTCATACAGAAATGGACCACGATTGAAACTTCTTTGTCAATGTACCCCTGAGCCGCATCCAGATGAGCAGGGGCGTGCACTTGCAGCAGCATGAATTTGTGCCACTACTTTGTACCACAGTGCACGCACCTACATGTGCCCTTTGTTGTGGGACACATTGTCCCACTGTGGGAAAACTGCCTGCTCCCAGCTTCTCCTGGCTCCTGCCCAGGTTCCATGTGCTGGGGAGGACTAGCTGGGGCACAGGCTGCCTCAGTGTGGGGGCTTCAAAGTGCGCAGAGATGTGGGAGCTGGGAGGCCCTGCGCTGAGGCATGCGGGGGCAGGGGAGCAGCCAGTCCAGAGCTGCCTGCTCCCCTTTCTTGCGGCACACTGTGCCCCAGCCAGCTGTCTCCACAGCATATGGAGACAGGGGAGCAGGCAGCCCTAGCTTACAGCATGTTTGTCCTGGTGCGTGCTACTTTCACATGCTTTGCGCTGTTTTTTTGGAGGGGGAGGGGGAGGGGGCAGTGGAACTGGGAAATCCTAGTAGCAAACTTTTTGAATCTTGTTGAGCAGTCTCTTGTGATGTCATTGCCATATGAAGAGTAAGTCTCTTTGTGGGCTGGTAGACTACTGCCTTACATATTGGCCACACAGGCAAATAAGGGAGCATATATCACACTCTTATACCTTAGCACAGGTTACTCATGTTTCTGGTCTGTGTGCAAAAGTATAACAGCTGCTTCAGAGTTGCCGTTCCTCTCATTGTGTATGTGTAGAGCATAGGCAGGGGGAGGCTGTGAATGGGCAGTCTTGGCATGCCAACATAGGGCTCAGCATGCTAACTAGTTCAGCTTAGCTGGTGTGGGAGCTGTAATCAGTAAGTTGGTCTGGGGCTGGTCTGTTTTACCAGAGTAAAAAGAAAGTGAGGACTCAGTGTTGAGGTACAGTTCATTCTTTGTTCTGTTCCTGGAGCAGTATAACTATATGCTGCCCCTTACATAGGACTTCTAACTCTGCAGTCTAATGCCCTGTCATTATTTGACAGGGCATTAGACTGCAGTGCTTATTTGAGTGTGCTTATTTGAGGTCAGACCCTGAAGCCCTTCAGGGTAAGTAATCCTCTCTAATGCAAGGTGTCCTGGTGAAGACAATGAATAAGAAAGTAAAGGCTGCAAAATTGGGCCCTTGGGAACTCTTACTGCCTCTGAATTGCCTCAATGAGTTGTTGCTCAAAAAAAGAAATTAAGATTCAGTAACTGAGTGGTTTGCTAACTACATCGCAAACTTTGCAAACCAGCCCAGTTAATATTGAGTGTCATTTCAGGAATTTGATGGCTTTATTGGTCCATGGGGTCAGATTTCTTGCTCAGTGGAACTGTTTTTCATTTACAGTAGTGTGCATGTAAAGAGAATCAGGCCCCAAAGTGCTGGGGATTTACACTTTTAAGGGAAAGTCCAGCGCCATGAGTTTATGTAGTGTAGGAGTTGGCAACCTATGGCCTACAAGCTGAATTTAGCCCACAGAACCACTGGATCCAGCCTGAGGACTTTGGGCTTTGGCAGTATTTGATGGTGTGGGACATTGGCTGCAGAGATGGCTGGGTCCTAGAACCTGCTCATCCACCTGCCTCTGACCCAAGGTGAGTTATTCAAGCCTGCAGCCAGGAAAGGTTGCCTACCCCTGACCCAATGTGAGTGCAGTGTCAAATGAAGTGTAGCTATTTTGCGTATGTTATATTTATCAGGTATAAAAAATATTGAATATTTTGTATTCGTGTTTTTGATAATTACTTGAAAGAAGAGTGGTGCAGGCTAACAAAGGAGGGGAGGGGGACAATTTACAGATTGATACTATGATCTATATTTGACAGGTGTAATTTAACTCCTCTTCAGACAGATGTCACACTGGCCTAGCTAAGCAGACACATATTAGCTATGCATTGCCCACAATCTTGACTTACTTCTTCATGAGTCTTTGACAGCAAAGCTAGTTCTTCTTTCATGCTTTCTATCTGACTCTCCAGATCCATTTTAGTTAAATTAGCATCATCAATCACTTTATATAAGGAATTTATTTCATCTTCCACTGCCTTTCTAAATGGTTGCTCATTTTCATATCTGCAGAGAAAAACTTTATAAGCACAGCTGGGCACAAAAAACCCCTTTGCATTTCACAAATAATACCATTCTGTTAAGTACTGATATGTACCAGATTGACAGGCAAAGAAGATGGAACTTATGTCTACCATTTATTAATGTACTGCAATGCCATTTTCAGCTCAGTCCTCATTGCCCTTCTTTATTAGGAGGAAAGTTACAATGCAAATTAATGGTCTCCAGAACAGCATTGTACAGTTAATTGTGTTTTGGAAAGGGAGTCAGAAAATTTATGTTCTTTTTCTGGATTTAAGGTATACACATCATGTGATCTTTACCTTTCTGTATTTCCATCATCTGTGCAGTGGATATAATCATGCTCACCCATTTCTGTAAAGAGCTTTGAGATCATAGGATGGTAAATAGATTCTGAGCTTCAAACAGTGCTGTTGTTATATAAAACTAAACACATTGTGTGGTGAGTTTGAATTATGTTCCTGAAGATATAGTCCATTCTTGCAGTTATATACTTAGTTGTACTGAAGTGAATTGGAAGGTGTTGTTGATTTCAGTTGGACAAGGATTCTAAATTACAATACTTTGTAACCAACTTGAGCCTCATAAACACAAGAGTGCTGTTTATTTTTTCTTTTAAAAACATCATGGCATATAATTTTCCTAAGAGCACTGTTAATAAGATCATTGCTTTTGTAACAAAACTGTAAACTGAAGTTAGGTGGCAACTGCTCATTTAACTGACCCTGTGTTTGAACAATTGTTTTGTCAACTAAAATGACTGTTTAACAAAAATGCAACTACTTTTCCCCTACCAGCTCAGTGGCAACACTTGTCTGCATGACTGTAGTTCCTTTTCATTTTAATCTTTCAATCTAAATGGCAGCCTGGGGTGCTGCAGCACTGGACCTAGCCAATTTGGGCAGCTGACTCCTCTGGTACAGGTGTCAAGGGAGCCAGCTTCATAAACAATTTCTGCATTCCTCTCCTGGAGAGCCGCCATCTTTGCCTGGAAATCAACAGCTTGGAAAAGAGGCAGATGATACCAGCATGAACTAAACTTTTTTTTTATACACTGCACTGATTCAGTGAAACACAACACACAGTATTGCCTTTGTTTGGAGAATTCAGTTGACTTTTTAAATAACTGCTTAGGTCATAAGCCTGACACTATATTTGGAAGAACAAAATGATGTAGCAGTTCAAAACGTTGGTTTTATGATATAAATGCTAAAAACAAAACCATGAACCTACTTAAAGCATTTTTTTGAACAAGAAATGGATTTTGGGAAAAAGGAAAATCCTGGAAAGATAAAGATTAGGTACTGTGAAATATACCTGGGAAGTTTGATTATTATTTTTTTAACAGACCCTTTCTAACTATATATTAGCTGTTTTGTAATTAGAAATAGTTCTATTATGAATAAAATTTAGAATAATGAAGCCTAACATGCAGTTGTAACAAGTGCAGTTTAAAGGAACTCTTTCAGCTAAAAATCACACACTGCGAATCTACAACTATCATTATCTATAGTACTAGCAGTAGCCTTGATTTTGAAATGTGCTAGGGACTGAAAGCTTGTTTGGGGACACCACCAGAGGTATTGGGTGGGGGCAGGAAGTTAAGGTGCTGGGTGTATATTACCCACATTATTGATGTTTCTTAACTTTTACTTGTTCCCTCCCTTTGG